TGTGTGTGTGTGTGTGTGTGTGTGTGTGTGTGTGTGTGTGTGTGTGTGTGTGTGTGTGTGTGTGTGTGTGTGTGTGTAACCAAGTACATGAGAGTTTTGGGGGCCAGCGGGGTGGCCAGCAGCTGTGGTGACGTACTGCGGTACCAGCACAAAATTCGCTGTTTGGTGGGTGTCCCTTTCACGCTGGCGACGCACAGCATGCCGAGCGCCTGTGCTGCATGCATGGATTCACAGTGTGCACAGAGTTGGCAAATACTTTTGCAAAACTTCTTCTACATATATCATAAGCCGTCTAGTGCCTGGGATGTGTGGTTAATGGGTTCACCATGAGAAATGGGCTTTCTCTCACAGAAGAGAATAGCGCCGACCGACATGCACAGGCACGTGTTGTGCAGCCAACAAATGAGTTTGGGCGCAGGCAGCGCACGCCGTTGGCTCGATGAACACATCTTCGTTGGGGTCCCACTTCACATATATGAGGACAGTGTTGCACCCCCAACGAAACAGCGCAGCCACGTCAGCAAGGCGCGCGTCGTGGCACCACATGAGCGTCTGTAATCGCTGCGCATCAGCTGTCCCCAGCAACAATATGTGCTGCATGCCGCACACGCACACATCCCGTGCAAACGCGGCAGGTACATTTTGATGCCAGCTGCTGCCAGTGTTGCGCGCGGGCGGGCGCCCCCTCACCCCCCCCCCCACCCCCCCCCCAAAATAACCATGCCAAGCAGCTGCTTGAGATTCTGCGGGCGCACTATTGCGCGAATGCTACAGCTGCTGATGAGAGGGTTCCCCGCAGCTGGGTCAGGCGCGATGGCAGCAGCATGCAGTGGTAGTGCACCCCGACACCACAGGTGCAGGGTCACAGCCAGACGCACGACTGTGCGCCCTTGAGCACATGAGGGGATCGAGGGCAGCCTACCAAAGTGTGTCATCCACGCTGTGGGCTCGGCACGGTCTCAAAGACTGATCATCAGGCTGCTTGTGCATGCGTGACCCAACAACCAGCCTGCGCCTGCAGCTGCATGAGGCATCGCCCCCTGCCCACCTGCTGCACGCGCAGCAAGTGCCCCATGCCGGCTGACAGTGGGCGGCGGCCTCGGCGGCGCCAACTTCAAAAAGCAGCCGCGGCCGCAGCGGCCGCGGCGGCGCCGCTCAGCCACGCGCCCTGCACCGTTGCGGGCACGCGTTGGTGCGTCGCCTCCCCCGCCCAAAACAACCGCCCCGCTGTTGTGGCAGCCAGATCCGCCCTCTCCCTGCCTTTGGCGCCAGGCTGGACAGAGCTGTAGCTCCCAAATGAGTAAGGGTCCGAGTGCCAGCGGGTGACCCAGGTCTGGACGGGCTCGGGGATGTTGGCCGCGCCAAACATGGCCCGCAGGGTGTTGACGGCGGCGGTGACTAGGGCGGCATCGGATGTGGAGGCAGGGTACTCGGCCGGGCTGCCTGCAGGTGGTGCAGCCGGGGTGTGCGGTCGTTGTCGGGAGGGTGAATGGGGAGGGGGAGGTTTTGGTGGTGGTGAGCGCCCGCCGATGTGAAAGGCTCCCCTGTTCAGGAAGCTGCCGGGGAAGTTGCACCTGGAACCGCGGAACATGACGACACACGTCCCCCCCCCCCCCCCCCC